GCTGAAATATAAAAGGGGATATACTGAAACAAAACGAGGAAACAAACATACTAAATGGAGAAATTTCGCTCATATTGTAATAAAAATAGTCTGTATACGCACTTGTCCTGTTTACAAACTTTCCCCACTTTATCTTAGTTACAGAACTAATATAATTAATATAGTGTTAATATAACTAGAACAATTGTAATAATAAAATAACTAGTAGAGTATTAGTGTACATCTAGAATCAGTAGAATATCAGTCAAATGACCAGTTCACATACACAATACAGCAAACACAGAAATTTGAAAATCTTGAGAATTTGAAGTTCCGTAATTCGAAAAATGTGACAGTTCTCAAACTTACAAATTTAAGTTTTAAGAAGCACTTTCACATTATTCTAAAAAGTAAATAATTCATACTAGAATGACTTTTATCGTCGAAGCAAAGCATTTATTGCAGAAAACGTGTAAAGTATCGTTTTAAAAAAAATGTTGAAACTAAATTACACTAAACAATAAGACTACCAGACTGTTCTAAGGATCACAAGTTTCTGGGATTTCAACAAAATTCAAATCTAATTGAACGACGTTAAATTAAATATTAATCTAAATTCTATTGTTGTAACTCACAATTACAATTTAGCCAGTGTTCAAATTGCAATCAAATATTGTTTCGAATCTTTTAATGCGAAATATTTTATTTTGGAATATTCTCATTTGAAATATATTATTTTGAGATAGTTGAATTTGAAATGTTTTGAATAATAACAGTAGTTATTTTATTTAATTTTCACAAAGTGTGAGAAACCCTAAGAAGAAAAGAAGCGCGTAGAAGTATTGTGTTTCGCTAACATTAATGGCGACGTTGATCAGAACAATGTGACATCGCTGTTGCAAGTTAAACGATATTGAACTCTCTTTTCTGCACCTAAAAGCTAGACTAACTCAAGTTCATTTCTTCTTAAAAGAAAGATGTTATTTTGAAATTTATTAAAAAATACAATGAAAAAGATCGAATTTCTTCGTAATCAAATAAAAATGAAAATTATGCAAAAAAATTTTCAACAGAAATGACAATGCAACCAGATGAGAAAATGGGTGTTTAATTCATTAACTACAAAATTTTCATTTTTTATATTTTTGGTGTAACAGAGAGTTGAAAATCGAATTAAAAACTGAAATTTATGTTACTTTTTAACATTTTAATTAACAAGTACAAGAAAAATTGTTACGTTATTTATGCTATCAAGTAAAAAGATGTGTTACACTCAAACTCTTTTACACAAAAAGAATAAAAACAAAAAGTTCAGTAGAAAATAACGTAAACATCAAAAGACTTATCTTCATAAAATGGTTTCCTCCAAAATATATGATAGATAAATGTGAAAATTTATACGTCTCCAAGAAATGACTGACATGGCACTTTTAATCAATTTTTATACAAAAAATAAACGCTGTTAATGTTATGCTTTTTTTAAATTACAAAAATGGACTCGAGTTTCACTCATAAGCATAGTTTTAACATATATCGTCCATCTTTACGATTTTTTTTAACAAAGGTTTATACATTTTTGATAAATAAGAAAACCCGTTTTAGACTTTTCGTTTATTTTCGTGGATAGTGACGTAAATATTGATGTAAAAGTTCAGTGCTTCTTGCTAAAGGTTTATTCAGTCTGCGTCGATACTTGACACCTCGATAAAATTTTCATTTAAGATTTGAATAGAGCTTGTTTTAATTTTAAACTTACCACACGCTGATTTCGTTATCTAATTAATTGATAACGAAAATAACGAACGATTATACATTTGTATAATCGAATTTGACGATATCATTATCGAATTAATAGTTTCTTCGTTTAAATGCGTTTAAATAGCAATGCTTGAAATGAAAAGAATTGTTTTTTGTTATAGTTTAATCGAACATATTTTTTATTATATGTTCGATTATATGGAGGGTAGACGCTAACAATTTTTGGGAGATATGGAGTTTCAGAATTTTGAAATTTGAGTATTTCAAAATAGTCAAATCCCATAAAATCGAATCTCATAATTTGTATAATTTGAATTATTTGAATTGTTTGAATTACTTGAGTTACTTGAATTATTTGAATTATTTGGTAATTTAGTAATTTGATAATTTACAAATTTGAAAATTTATGAATTTAGTAACATGGAAAGGAAGTTTGGAAATCTTAGAATTTGTAAATCTAAAATTGGAGAGTTTAGTAATTTTAAAATTAAAAAATTTTTAAATTTGGAAGATTGAATATTTGAAACTTTGAAGTCTTAAAATTTTAATATTTGAATATTTGAAAATTTAGAAGTAGGAATGTTTGGAAATTGCATACACAAGAAAGTATTTATCTCGAACCAAATATTTATTTCGAGACCTTCTGCTACTTTAAAACACAATACTATTTTATTATCAAACACGGTATTGTTGGACTTCAGGATCTTCTTTCTGCAATTTGTTTCGGCGAGTATTTGTGGTCGTGCAATTAAAATTACAGAAGCAAGTAATGTTATTTTTAGCTTAAATAAAAAGCAGGAATGGATAATATTATTATCATAAAATGTATAATATATTTGTAGTTAATGAATTCAAATTAATAAATCATTGCATAGTTATTCTAAAATTCATAGTAAGTGTAATATAATGAATTTTCAATTGTTTTGTACATTGGTAAATTAAGTATGAACATAAGAAGACGAATATCTGAGATTAGAACGAGTTTGAATTAGAATATTGCAGAATAGAATACTCCAAAATAAAATCATTTAAAATAGAATATTTCAGGGTAAAATATCTCAAAGTGGAGTAACTCTACACTAGAATATCTCAAAGCGCAATAATTTAAAAATGAAATATTGCAAAGTAGAATATTCTAAAATTAAACAGATCAAACTAGAATCTTTCAGAATAAAATATCTCAATACGGAACAACTCTACTCTACAACATTTTAAAGTGCAATAATTTAAAAATAAGATATATCGAATCAAAATATTCTAAAATTAAATATTCCAAAATAGATCATTTTAGAATAGAATATCTGAAACTTCAAAATAGCATATATCAAACTGGAATAACTTCAAAATAGAGTATTGCAATATAAAATATTTCAAAGTGGAATATTCCAAAATAGCATATTTAACAAAAAGTATTAAAATGTTAAAAACATTTAACAAACATTAACAAATTTCAAAATAATTCCAATACAAGTTAGCATAATTCAACATAAATATTTTCTTCGTACACTCAATAAAACTTTTTAACAAAAGAACTTTACGGTGCCACTTCCTCCATAACAATAAATGTATTTTCAAATATAAACAATCGATAACCGACTTCTCTCGGTCTAATAATAATTCAGAATGTAGTCAAAAAACACTGAATACTCATTTCAAATAGAGTAGTAGTAAAAACAGTACCCCTAGATATAATGCACATTGAACACCAAATTTTTCTTGAAAATTTTTATAGAATTCTTTACAGAATTTTTCTTTAAAAATTAAATCGCAGCTCCATTTAATTATAACACATTTCTAATAATATTATATGTATGAAGGGAGCTTTATGCAAAATATCCTTTCTCGCTGTATAGTGCAGGTTGGCGAGTATATACGCGGATAAGGGCGGAGCACGGACAGATACCAGTGACTTGGCAACATAAAGAATACATAATGTAAAACGTCGTGAAAGGAGGTCTCATTGGCTGATACCTGTTTTACCTGGTGTACGCCTACCCATCTGGTCACTCCACCTCTTCGACACGCAATTGGCAGATAATAATGAAGCTGCCGTTAACTCTTTTCCTTCGATGGACAAGGGAACCATGTGTCGGCCCAGAATGAGAGGATAATTTTGAGAATATAATAAAAGAATTTTTGGACGCGTCTAAAATGAAAAATTCGACAGTGTAATTTCTAATTATAACAGCTTTCAAGAACAATGGAAGAATTATTAAACATAGAAATATATTAAAATTTATTTAAGTCGCTGTTACAAATTTTGTATCTTATCTTGTTTAATTAGAGTCTACTAGTAAAATATTAATTTTTAAATATATGTGATATTATTTATTAAAAGATAACATATACATACATATATTATGTGTATATGTATGTATACGTAATTTAAACTAGTATTATTAATTATTTAATAATATATAATTTAAATTATTTGACAGTATACATAATTTACGTATTTGAAAAATAAAAAACTTAACAATCTTGCATCGAATTATTTAAAGTATCATGCAATTATTATTATTATTAACAAAAATGTAATTTAAAAATAGGTATTAATTATTAGTATAGCTATGTATCTTAAATACATATTGTTATTTTACTTTTGCGAATTAAAAAATTATTAAATGTCACTCTAATGTGACTTAGTCTTTGTTAATCGCATAAAATAAAATTTTTACGTAAATACACAAAATTATGGACAACAACTATAGACATAAGTTTACTATAAATCTTACTATCAGATTTAAAGCTTGAATAACAATGCATACAAAATCTTTCGAAGATTTTTATTTCTTGAAGAAACTATATCCAAGATTGAAAATATGGATACCTTATGAATATGGAAAAGACTGAAAAAACTTGAAAATATGAATATCTTATGATCAGCAAAATATATTAAATTTCTCTAGTGTCCATAAACAGATTAAACAAGGTAAAAGAAACATTTAAATCTTTAAAGAAAGAATAACCCTTTGCACTCGAAGATTTATTTTGCCATCTAAAATGTCCTCTCGAAGAGGACAACCGAGTGTAAAGGGTTAAAATATAAAATAAATACAAGAACGTATTACCAGAATAAAATTTAGAAATAAGAGAAGTTTATTTAAAAATAGATGAAAAGAAAATTTGATGTTTGTACCACTAGTTTAAAGTTTCTCCCAGAAGTTCTGGGAGACATAGTTTATAAGCAATGTGCAGCGAATACCTCGATAGCCAGCAAGTGGTCAGATCGATAAATCGTTGTTCGATCTTGCTTGTTCCAGGCAGAGTGATATGTTAACCGAAGACAATGATCCGACGAAACCAGCAGGCGTTTTAGACAATGCTGGTAACGTGTCTTCGTCCACAGAGGCCTCGGTACAGCACCCTCGTGCCCCAAACAATGGTAAATAAAGTTCCTATGTATATATTGCTTGATTTTCTTTTAAAATTGCTCATTCTTTTAAAACTACATTTATATTATGTGCATACTACCTTAACACTAAAACTACCAAAAAGGACAAATGACCCTTTTACGAGTTTTTCATTTTACGAAATTTATTAAGACAATTTCTTTAGAATCTTAGCTAATCTTCATGAAGGTATAGAATTAATGTGTATATTAATTTATGTTTTATCATTTGTTCATCATCATTGTTATCATGAAGTTTTCAACTTCATTTTTAATTTGAGAGTAAGTGTGTATCGGTAGGTTTAGTGTGAAAAGGAATGGTCACTATTTGAAATATGAAATTTGATCTTAGGCACCAGTTATAGCAGTTTTTGCTAACTGTAGGAGTAGCATTGTGGTAGATTACAAGTTTGGTACCTTGGATTAGTTACAATTTTGATATCTTAAATTAATTATAATTTTGGTTGGGTCCATAAGTTTGATATGGTAGATCAACAAATGGTGCATTAGATTAATTACAATTTTGGGACGTTAGGTCAACTACAATTTTGGTATATTGTAATATAATATTTGGTATATTATATTACAATTTGGTATAATTAATGTACAAAACAATTTTCGTACATTAATTACAATTTTAGCATATTAGATCAACAATATGTTAGATTATTTACAAATTGGTACAGTAGATAAATAACAGTTTTTTGTACATTAAGTCCACATTTTTGGGATATTAGATCAAATACAGTTTTGGTACATCAGACGAATTTCAGTTGTAGCATATTAGATCAACAAATTTTGGTAAAATAGATTAATTACAAACTTGGTGTACCAAGAAAATAACAATTTTAGTACATTAAGTCCACATTTTTGGTACATTAGATGAATTACAATTTTGATACATCAAATCAGTTACAATTTTAGCAATAGATCAACAATTTTGGTATATTAAATCAACAAGTTTAGTATATTAGATTAATTACAAACTTGATGCAGTAGATAAATAACAGTACTAGTACATTACATTAACAATTTTTGTACATTAAGTTCACATTTTTGGAACGTTAGATCAATTACAATTTTGATACATCAAATCAGTTACAATTTTAGCATTAGATCAACAATTTTGGTATATTAAATCAACAAGTTTAGTATATTAGATTAATTACAAACTTGATGCAGTAGATAAATAACAGTACTAGTACATTACATTAACAATTTTTGTACATTAAGTTCACATTTTTGGTACATTAGATCAATTACAATTTTGGTGCATTTTACTATAATTTGGAATAAATAGGTCTAGTAAATGCTTAGATAAAAGACAACTGAATAAAACAGAGATAAAATACAAGTAACCATACATAATAGTTTCGATTGTATTGTTATTGTAAGGGAAACCAGAAATGTTTGACACACTCTTGGACAAAAACGAAACTAAATAATATTTTAATCATCCCTTTGTACATGATAGATTCAGTATTTCTAACCAAAACAAGATTGAATTTTTTAACTCCATTGTAGAGTATTTTAAACAATAAAACATATAAATTATAAAATATCATATATGTAAATATAAAACGTGTAAAATATTTCAAACTCTTTCGGCCATGAAAGAATTAATGCAAATACATGAAACGTAAAAAACAATATTTCATACGAATTTCACGATTAAATATTTTTCTTTGTTTATGTCAACACATTTCAATGCGTTTCAATGTCATATTTAGAATATATGAGCCGTTTATTTTGAAAGTAGCTTAATTGCCAGTTGTTTGTTGTTATCTGTAGTGACATGTATCACCTGTTGTTAATTGTCATAAAATACATTTTGCGGCTAAGCATCCAGATCATTTTCGACATATAAATTTTCGCAGTTAATTTGATGTTTGAAAAATTGACTTTGAAAGTGGCCTAAGTGCAATACATTATTTCGAAGGCAACGATGATGATAATTACAATGAATTAATAAATAGTTAATATAATAATTAATTAGTATTAATGTCATATACATGTACCAGCGAAGCACCATGATTTCTTCAAATCCTTTCCGTATACATAAAATATAGACATGCAGTAATTTATGTAGTTAGATTTCTTGAATTGCATAAATGGTTTTCAAGAGTTGTAATGAAACATAAAATAAATAAAATACTGTTTTTTCACTTCGAAGTGATTTAAATTGTATGGAATGGCTATTTCAAATTTGATGACAAATATAGTTGTTAATTTTGCAAATGGCTGAAGTCTATTCTCGGTAGAAAAACAAATTAACTTAATAATTGCTATTGTTTTAATAGAAATTATAAATTTAACTCTCTCAGGTACACTTCAGTGCGTATATTTTTAATTTCATTGAAATGCAAATTATTACATGTCTGAATTTAAACATAAATGGATTTAGACATCTTTCAAAATAAACGACTTATATTTAACACTCGTCGAACATGAAAATGATGAATTATTAAATATGTATACATATACAATACATTATTAAGTTGTAATCAAACATAAACTATTGAATTATACATATAAATTTTCCTGGTAATTTGTTTGCAAAACTATATCTATTTTAGATTACGTAGAGTTAGATTGTTTTGGAGAAGAATGTGTTATAGGTCTCCTTTAAATGTTTCAAACTTAACCAAACATAAAATTTAAAAATAATAATTCTAACAATATTTTATCGTAATATGAAAACACAGAACAGTGAATTGTTTATGTAATACTGAATGAATTATCACGTAAAATAATTGATATTTCACCAAAATACTGTGTTAAGATATTTAACAAAAATACTCGGTTAAGATATTTTATAAAAATACACAGATTAAAGCATCTCGTGGCAGGAAGTACACACTTCTTTCGATACAAAAATTTCACATTAACAAATTTATTTTCGTACAATCGTAAATTATCAGTATGCATTGAAAACAGTGTACCCTGTAACATACGATTGTTTTTTATCGACTATCGATTCTTCGTAAACTGTAATATTTTTAAAAATACCACTTACAGCCTTTTTTACAAAATAATCTTCAGTTAAAAAACAACTTCAAAAACACTTTTAATGAAAAATTGAACAGAAACCATAAAAAATCAAATGAAAAGCTGAATGGAAACAATGAAATAAAAAATGAAACAGTGAATAAAAACAATAAAAACGCAAATGAAAAGCTGAATAAAAACAATGAAAACGCAAATGAAAAGCTGAATAAAAATAATAAAATTGTAATTGAAGAATTGAATAAAAACGCAAAAGAAAAAACTGATGAAGAACGTTATTAAATGAATAAATGTCATTGATACAATTTACCAATCAATTATTAGTTTTCATAATATTTATTGACTAGGATATTATTGTGCAATATGATGTATTTAGTGAATGATAAAAATACACGCATTGTAAATTATAAAGATGGACGCATTTTAACAATATCTATAATTTAGCGATCCATAAAATTGATTGAATAAATTTACAATTTATTGCAATTGTCATTTCTTGCGATATAAATACATTTTTTCCAAACACTATGCAGATGAATTTAAATTTTTATATAACTGTATCTAAATTTTTTTTTCAAAGATTAAGTTACATAACGAGAAGATTTATTTCTTCAAACTTGTAATGGATTTCGGAAAATTCTAATAAAACTATTCTAACTCTAGTTTTACGAATATGTATAATTACATTGAAAGTAGACTATAAAAATAAATAAATAATGGATAATACATAAACCAAGAATACTTTGACAAATACTACTTAATAATTTCCATAATCTAAAATAAAAAATTTAAGAGCCACCATTTTTGTCAAAAATTTTTTCATAATTTTCATAATGCAAAATAAAGAATTTTAGAGCTATCATTTTAATAAAAATTTCTTAGTAATTTCCATAATGTAAAATAAAAAATTTAAGAGCCACCATTTTTACCAAAAATTTCTTCATAATTTTCATAATGTAAAATAAAGAATTTTAGAGCCATTATTTTAATAAAAATTTCTTAATAATTTCCATAATCTAAAATAAAAAACTTTAGAGCCATTATTTTGTCTCAAAAATTTCTTCATAATTTCCATAATCTAAAATAAATAAATTGAGAGCCCTCATTTTGACAAAAATTTCTTAATAATTACTATAATCTAAAACAAAGAATTTACCAGCACTCATTTTGACAAAACTTTCTTAATAATTTTCATCCTCCAAAAAAAAAAGAATCTAAGAGTCATCATTTTAAGGTTCCATAAATCCAGAGTTAATTAAATCCAGGGATTTAAAGTATTTTTCGGATTTCTTTAACTGCTCGATTGAATTAAACCAGAAACCGTCGGTAGTTCCACCCTCATAAAATACTCGACACAACTTATAATCTAACCGGGCTAATTGTTCTGGAAATTAATTACGCGTCGCAATTCTAGATGAAATCAAATATCCTCCATCCGTTTTTCTTCCTAAAGAAACATCAATGGTGAAGGTACGAGTTGTATTTACTCCTTCAAACCGTGACTACGAGAAAAGCTTATTCATAATTTTTACTGAGAATGCTTTAGGTGAAGGTATGAGTTGACCAGTTTTTAGAAGACATAAAATAAGGTTTTTATAAGTAATTCACTTTTCAAGAATGTGAATTCAGATGCCACATCAGGTAGTTTTTTGAAATGATTACATATGAAGTGAAGTACTATCTAAATAGTTATTCATTATTAACTATTAAGTAATAACTATTTTACTTATACTAGTATTAACTACATATTTAGTAATAGCATCTAAATTCATTAATATAATATACCATTACATTTCTATTTTCCTGACGCTTCTATGAAGAATACGATTCAGATAGAAAAATGTATACCTTGTGAAAATTTCAAGAATGAAATATATTTCTTCTGGTATAAGTCAGCTACTAGTAATTAGAGGGTCAATTACTAATTTTTTAATTTTTAAGAGTGGTCAACTCCTGAAGCATTTAGAAGTACAACCGAAGATTTAAGAATCAACCATTACTTAACTACATCAACCACATTAATTATGAAGATTGCAGAGATTTTGCGAATATTTTAAACTATAAAATATTTTAAGTTTGTATTTTAATAAAATTATCTGAAAATTTATATAATCTTTTATGTTTGTATTGCTTACAGTTTTTAAATGATGTAAAGTTGATTTATCATTCTTTTAACTGAACAATGTTGCCATAACGGAGTTACCATTGTTTTCATAAAACAATATTAATACACATCTTATTTTATTAGAACAATGTTTCCATAATAGATGTATCATTGTTTTGATAGAACATTATTCCAATACTAAACGTATCGCTATTGTAATAAAATCCTAAAATAGATTTATTATCCTAAATATAAAATAGACTTATCTCCCAAAATATAAAATAAAATTATCTTCCCGAAATAGACTTATTGTCATTTCAATCAGAACAGTGTTGTCAAAATATGTTTGTCGCTGTTTCAATAAACCAATAAAAAATAAATAATTAAATGTTAAAATAGACTTAAAAGAAATATAACAAATCGAAAGTATGTGAACGTGAATCGTTTTGATCACACTGGCAGCTACGGAGGTCAAGAACGAGGTGCAAGATTGCCCCGAGAACGACAGCGTGCCCGGCGGGGAGTTGTACATCGACGAAAATGCCGAGGAAAAAGAGCAGGAGTATCCAGATTCTATGGAAAAGGCCGACTACAGTTCATTGTACGGAGCCAATCAATATTATAACAGGTATTTATTTTCCAATATTCGTTTCATTCAATTTTTCAATCACTTCTGATTTAATCATTCTTTTTATCCCTTGTGTCTGCTGCGTCAGTCAAAACTATACACAGCTACAATATTGAAATAAATACAGAAAATTAAAATGTTATATCTATTTTATATTAAGCGGTCGTAGACTATTGTGATTGCAAATTATAATTGAACTTAAACTTCAAATTAATACACATTAAAAATTCAAATATGATTTGTCACATTGGAACCACGAGTGCGCTACAAATCAAAGTAAGGTGAAGTGGGGTAAGTTCATAAACGGGGCAAGTGCGTATACAGGCTATTTTTATTGCAATATGCGCGAAATTTCTCCATTTAGTATATTTGTTTCCTTGTTTTGTTACACTATATCCCCTTTTATATTTCAGCTAAGAGTACTTGTTTGCAGTATAGAGTACTTGCATAATGCAGTAAAAAGCATTTTATAGCAGATTTGTTAATAATTCTGCTCTTGCCCCATTGCACATAAAATAAAGTTTCAAAGTATTTAACTTCAAGTTACGCTCTTACCCCATTTTCGGGGAAAGTGCAGAGTAGTTGACATTTTAAACAATTTCCTATCAAAATCAAAATGTACGAGGAAAATTAAGATCCTAGTTAATATTAATTAAATAGTAGTAATTGTGCAAAGCGTTCGGTATCGACAGCGTTAAGTATTTACATAGCAGACTGAAAATACTTACGTTTAAATACCAACTTTACAAAAATCAGTCTGCACTTACCCCACTTCACCTTACCTGAACTCATTTTTCTACGGTAGGTACTTCATGAAACTCCAAATATAGAAAAGAAAACTTAATCTAACCTAACCTAATCTAATTTAACAATAACAAAAAATAGTTAAGGGATTTGATGAAATCATTTACTTTCAGGGAAATCACCCTACAGAGTTGTTATTTTAACATCTTCCATGAATTTATCACATACCTTATGGATTCCCCTAGAATAATCAAGAAAATCCCTATTCTCATCATTTTCCTTAAATAAATATCCATTAAATAAATTAAATAAGACATTCCGTAATAATTATAATATTCATAAAATAATAAAATATTGCCAGAAAGTCATTTGTAGTAAAAACAAAAAAACAAAAAATTGTAATTATAAAAAAATTGTATCAATAATTTTGTCATTCATAAAATTTATTTATTTATTTTTAACAAAAAACAATTTCGTAATAATTTGTGTTATATATCATATTTGCAACAGAATGTGAACAGATTAATGGTTACCTCTGTACTTGATTATTGAAAATAATTATGGTAATCACAACCACCGATCAATTATCAGTAATCATAAATAACTTTTGTAATCCATAATCACTTGTCGATAATTTGTAATTATTCACTGAACAGTTAGTTTATATTTTACTAAAATCGGTAATAACATCATAATTTCTGTTTTCCTATGTAATAATAATAAATGCATTATTATTAATACCATGTTTGAAACAAGTAGTATATTAGTTCAATAATAATTAAAATCGTAATCATTCCGTGATTGATTACCGAGTTCATATCTTTCAATTACAATAGCTCCGATTACATCTTTTATTCGTTAATGAAAATTAATAACTTCCAATCGTTAATCAGATTACGTTTTATCCGACTCTGTTCAAATAACTTGCGCAATAAAGTGATTTACCTGATTTGCGCAATAAAATTTCCGGTTTAATCAAGTTTTTAAATTTTTTAAAATGTACTGAAAGATATAGGAAAAACGTAATGAATCGCTTTAAATATTCTTTCAGCACGTTTAAACAATTATAATGTTGCAAAAGTATAATTTTTAATTTATATACATTAGAAAATTAGTAAGTATATTCATTTATTTGTGGAAGTATACTTTCTGCTAAAAGAATTTGTACAACTTTTATAGTAAAAATACAAGTTATTAAAATTAACAAAACTTATTTTAGACTTATTTTTACACATTTTAAAATATGTGATAATCGAACGAAACAAAATTCATTGCTTTCCTGTTCAAAAGAGGGGGCCTTTCATTAAAAACAGAAGCAATATAATTAAAGGCAGAAATCACTAAAGAATTTTGTGCAGTCCCTGGTCATTGAATTAGGATCACGTAGCTAATAAATTATATTATTACAATTTGAACAGGACTTTTAATTTTACGGAAAACGTGAAAAATGGTATAAATTTATAATGGTCCTAATTCGATGACTAGACACTGTAATTTGCTTGAATGAGTTAACTCGTCCACGGTATATCAGTTAAATAAGAAATAAAGTAATCGAATTAAATAGTAAATTTCTGTTTATAGTATATACAACTCACCCCCATATGGATCGGCTACAGCTGGGAAAAACACCTCGGGATTGCAAGGTTCTTACTTGACCTCTTACACGTCCCCGAGTTCCATGACTCAATATTCGTCTTATGCTACTTACAACAGCGGCACACCGAATTTTCCCAACGTAGCCCAAAATATATCGTCCTCTTCTCAGGTAAATGTATTATAATAAAAAGTACTATTATACAATATAAACAACCCTATGAATTTTACTATTGAATTTTACATGAAATTACTATTGCAAGTTATCGTATTATTATTCAAATATACCAAATTATAGAAAATTGTTATACAATAACAGCAAATTCTTATACAATTATACCAAATTGTTATACAATTACAGCAAATTCTTGTACAATTATACCAAATTGTTATAATTGTTAAATTATTATAAAATTTCTTGTTAATCCTTTGACTATGAGTCATTATACATCCTCTGAATTTTTCTTGCTAAAAAAATTGTAATTGCAAATAATTAAATATCAAGTGTCTTAATATTTTACTGTGACAAACAAGTCACCTTCTAAAATCCCCTTCCTGCTCTATTTTGTAAATTAAGTAAATTTTGTTTATGTATATGTAAGTTGGTAAAAGAATTACAGGAGTGCAAAGGATTAAAGACACTTTCAAAGAGTTTCTTAGATTTTACGATAATTGATGAGAGGTTCTTTGAGGGTTCTAATCTATTATACCTTTTAAGAGTGTCTTCCGCGTTTCACTAACTGACTCTTTTTCTTTCAGAAGCTAGATTATAGCGCCTACAGTAGCAGTTTATACGGAAATGACAGGGTACCATTACAGTATTCCGGATACTACCCAATGCATGGGTACCACGCGACACCGGCCTCATTTAACATTGGAAATCTGAATTTTGCTGGTAATTTTCCATTACATTATTTCTCTATGCATCTGCAAGAGTGGAACATGCTTGATACGCTAATACATAGGTTCTTGAACTGTGGTCCGCGAAATTAACTTTACATCCCCAACTTTTCGCTTTTATTCAAATAATTCATTCAATAAAAATGATGAAAACCATTTTGTATTTGTTACTTAACCAGTTAAGTGTGTTTGACGACTAGAGATGTGGCAGAATTTCAAGCCATGACGACTATATCCGTCATGCGTAAAATTTTGTTACAATTTGATATTTAAATTGTAATTTTGGCGACAACTAAATTATATTCGTATATTGTAATATGTTTAAAATGTTTAGAGGTCAACGCGAAATGAAATAAACAAATAAAAAGTGTAAATGATTTGAAATGGATTCATAAATTCTTGAGAGCTAACTCGTCATCGCTTGATTATCGCGACATATACTGATGCGCGCTTTGCAAAAAGATCGCCACAGTTAACTGGTTAACTACTTAACATAACTAAATAGTAATTATTAAAAATTTGATTATGGGGTCAAGAAAATGTTTAAAACCGCGGACTACATAAGTTCAAGAAACCCTGCGACTTGATTCTGAATTTCGTTACAATATCGCATGTTGTAAATTCCTTTTCTATGACGAGTTGTTTCAATTGATTCACCGGAAACGGGGTGCTTTATCATAGTTCTTACTTCGTGAGTCTGCAATTAAGAAAGTTAAATTAGTATTTTTAAAAATAACGATGATCCTCGTGTAACACGATACTTTAATTGCATGCTTTGTATAAATGTTTGACTTCTTATGAACTTTTTTGTTTTCCTTCTTTTTTATTGTGAATGTCTTTTTTATGTATACATTTACGTTATCGAAAAATTTCTATAATTTTTTATAAGAGTATTTGTGTTATTCGAGGGTTGTCTATATGAGGGGTTTTATAGACTCTCGTTATATTGCCATTTCTATTTTACTAGTGATGTTTTCTTAACAGTGAGTACACAGACATGAGTAGGATATTTTAATAGAATTCAACAGTTTTAATATTAAAGGAGGAAATTACTTGTTTAATGTACTGTATTATCAGTTTTAGAAATTATTTAGTGTTATAGCTATGTTAGTGGCAATATAATAGGAATCTGCTGCTGTTGATGTAAATAGGAATTTTATTTAAAATGCCAAGTTCCAAGGTGTAATTAACAATGATGGAATTTGGAAATTAGAAATTGCAAGAATTTAAAAATTTCGAACTTGGGAATTTGAGATTTTGAAAATTTGGAAGTTTAGGAATTGAGAAATTGAGAAATTTAGAAATTGAAAAATTTAGAAATTGAAAAATTTAGAAATTTAGAAATTCAAAACTTGAGAAACTGGAACATTTAGAAATTGGGAAATTTAGAAATTTAGAAATTCAAAACTTGAGAAATTGGGAAATTTAGAAACTTGAAAATTTAGAATTTTAGAAATTTAGAAATTTGAAAATTTAGAAATTTAGAAATTTAGAAATTGAAAAACTGAGAAACTTGAAAATGTAGAAACTTGAAAATTTTGAAATTTGAAAATTTAGGAACTTGAAAAGTTAAAAATTCAAAATTTTAGATATTTGAAAATTTGAGAACTTAAAAATATAAAAGTTTATAAATGTGAATTAAAATAAAGCAAAATTAACATGAAATAGTTCGTTGTTTTCTTTTACGAATTTTCATATACGACAAATAAATAATTGTTCATAATCAATAAAAAGTGTAATGTAAATGATCTTGTAAAACATGTAACTCGTTGCTGGTGAATCACTCTATTAATACATTGTAATGTGTTAACACTTAAAGGACAGGTCGCGAGTTTTCTCGTGTACAGTTCTCATTGAACAAGCTGTTACAACGGTAAGTGCATAAAGATGTTTAAACTAATGCCTAATTAATGCAGAATATCTCGGAAGAACATTAAAAAATCGCTCATTATATTGCAAGATGGTGGAAACTTGTCTCCAGTCTTTTAAGTGCTTTGCTTCTCTATTATTAATTTTAACATAAATCAATCTTGTTTCTTTTTTTTGCACCACTGCTAGTTTTCGATTTATGCATTTAATATAGTCTGTCCCTTAAAAGTTTAAACGCTAATTTTTTAATTACTTTTCTAAATTCCCAAGTTTTTAAATTTGCAAGTTTCTACATTTCTAAATTTCACTATTTTTAAATTTGTACTATTTTCTAATTATCAAATTTATAGATTTATAAATTTCAAGGTTTTCCAAATTTTAATTTAGCACATTTATAAATTTTGAAATTCCTGAATTTCTATATAACAAAAATCAATTGTAGATTTTTAGATCTTTTGATTGCACAATTCCAAGATTTCTAAATTTTTATATTTCTAAGTTTCCGAAATTTCAAACGACCAAGTTCCTCAATTCCAGAAATTTTTAATTTTCAAATTACCAAATTTCAAATTGATAAATTTGTATATTAGAAAATTTCGAAATACTTAAATCTTTAATGTTTTCAAGATATAAGATTTTAAATTACCAAATTTTTAAATTTTTGCTGAATTTGCAAATTATCAAATTTCTGAATTCCTGGTAAATTATTAAAATTCCCAAATTTAAAATGTTAACAATTACCAGGTTTCTAAATTGTTGCATTAATAAATTTCTTAATTGTAAAATTTCTATATTCTCAAATTTGCAGTATCCAGGAATTTTTAATTTTTGAAACCTAAATATCTAAATCGCTGACCTCACCTAACCTAATTATTATTAAATTACCAAATTACCAAGTTATTGAATTATCAAATTACTAAATTACAAAACCACCAAATTACTACATCACCAAATTACCAAATTACTAAATCACCAAATAACTGAATTACCAAATTACTAAATTATAAAATCACCAAATTAACAAATTACTAAATCACCAAATAATTAAATCACCAAATTACCAAATAACTAAATTATAAAATCACCAAATTACCAAATTACTAAATTATAAAATCACCAAATCACCAAATTAGCAAATTATTAAGTCATCAAATAATTCAATTGCAAAATTACCAAATCACTATTATTACCAAATTATTAAATTACAATATCACCAAATTACAAAATCATCAAATCACCAATTATCAAATTACTAAATCACCAAATAATTGAATTACCAAATCACTATTATATCAAATTACAAAATTACAAAACCATAAAATGACCAAATTACCAAATTACTAAATCACCAAATAATTGAATTACCAAATCACCCAATTTCCAAATACAAAAATTATTATTTACTATATCATAATATTTCTATCAAAATCCCGTCAACAAATCATCAATATTTCAACCAGAGGACCATAAATCATGCAGTACATACTCTTGTGGGACAGCCTGTAATTTAAATTTATTGTTTCAAATAGCAACATTTTACCTCAGTTCTTCGGTGTACATATATCATCACGATAATTTCGATTAGCTAGCAATTATAATTTATCAGTAACTATCGTCCTTCTTTGTAAAAAGATTCGACAAAATCTGCGCTCACATTGGACGCAACAACTCACGATGCCAGCGATCTTACCGCACGAGAAACCGCAAACATCGAAGGTAACACGATTCGTACGTGTGATTTTATATTTCTATTTCTATTCCTTTTTTTTATCGATATGCGTGTGCTCCTCTGATGTGTTTACAGTCTATCTTGCTAAAAACAGTGCCGTCTTAAGGTACAGTTACACTGGGCAACAGAAACCCTCAAATTAAATAAAAATATTATTTTAAAATCCAAGAAAATTAGCTTAAAAGTGTTTTTAAATATTTGTCTTTCTCCAGACTTATATTACATTATATTACATTGGTATAAAAATTAAAAGATTTTGGTTAAAAATACAAAATTTTTGTAAGATTTTTTGAATATTTATTTTGTTACAAAATAATAATTGCAATTTTGTTTGCATTTTTCTTCTTGAGAACATTGTTTTGCCCAGGGAAATACTGTAAAGACGGCTCTGAAAAACAAGAAATAAATAACCATAAGGTAATTTTCAATGGTAACGTTCAAACATTTCTAAATATCTTCCAGGTTCTAAAATTAAAGCGAACTGATAAAAGAATAAATGTATGTCTATAAGTAATCAGTTGGAACAATATTATTTAATATTGTACTATATACTATAACATTTCTCTTAGAGTTATTAAAAAATTTGTATTTAGTGCAAAATAATTTTTATTCAAACTTTGAAATGTGGAAACATCAATTCTATAATAAATTTGTCAAATCACATGTATACTTCTGCTTAAAATATTACAATTAATGCAAATATTGTATTGAAAAGTACAGTTTCAAAATTGAAATTAAAAAAATAAAAGAATTCGGTTTCATAAGAAATTGAAATTAAAAAAATAGAAAAATTCAGTTTCATAAGAAATTGAAAAATATAGAAAAATCGAAAATACAGATAAAGAGTTGGATAAAAAAATATGAGGATGAATTAACGTGTTTCAGGTACGACTGCGAAACCTTGCAGACGCGGAAGACGTCAAAGCGGAAGTGGAAACAGTATAGGTTCCGCAGACACGACAGAAGCCGGTCCTGACCGGATATTCATTTGGGACCTGGACGAAACCATAGTTGTGTTTCACTCGTTGCTCACTGGCCAATTTGCAACGAAACACCGTAAGGATCCTACCCTTTTGGCCCAAGTTGCCTACAGAATGGAGGAGATGATATTTAATTTGGCTGATACTCATTTCTTTTTCAATGACATCGAGGTAAATATATACGGTTAGCTTCTGGGTGGCTAACACTGAGAATTGTTAAATTATTACATTGTTAAATTGTTACATTGTTAAATTGTTACATTGTTACATTGTTACATTGTTAAATTGTTATATTGTTACATTGTTACATTGTTAAATTGTTACATTGTTTAATTGTTACATTGTTACATTGTTAAATTGTTACATTGTTACATTGTTAAATTGTTAAATTGTTACATTGTTAAATTATTACATTGCTATATTGTTAAATTTCTATATTGCTGTAAAAATGAGAGTAATCACAAAATTATGCAAATATCAAATTTCCACACTTACAAATTCTCCAAATACACAAATTGGATACTTTAGAAACCTAGCAATGCAGAAATATCAAATTTATAAATTTACAAACGTTGGAAACTTGAAACTACAAAATTTCAATTGAAAATATTCAAACTTTAAAATTTTCTAATTAAAAAATTTCACAATATGGAAGTTTGGAAAAGTGAAAATTTCAAAATAGAAATTTAGTAATTTAATAATTTGAAAGTTTGGAATTTTCAGAATTTAACATGTTTAGGGACAATAAAAAGTAGTATGAAAATACCTAACAAATAAATTGGTTATTGCTTTGAAATGTATAATAATTAAACTCAAGTTTATATAAAAGCGAATTACAATTGCCTTCAAAATGCTATAACATTCACGCCATTTTGCATTACAACGAAAATAAGTGCTATAACATTATGTCCTCAAACATGTTAAGTATGTAGAATCTTCAAATTTTTAAATTAAGAAACCACTTATTAATCTTCTTGCAAGTACAACCACCCATCACTGATTTAACCTCAAATTAATCTTGTTAAACAATGTATAAAGAACAATTATATTTGTATTTTATATTACGTCATGAACTATTAAATTTGTATTTTATTTTATATCAAAATATTGTAAAACTGAAATTAATATTTTGTAGGATTGTGACCAAGTGCACATCGACGATGTATCATCAGATGATAACGGGCAGGACCTGTCTTCTTACAACTTCGCAAACGACGGTTTCCAATGCGCGTCTACGAACAACGGCATATGCTTGGCATCCGGTGTCAGAGGTGGCGTAGACTGGATGCGAAAATTGGCTTTCCGTTACCGGAAAATAAAAGAGATTTACACTAATTACCGGAACAATGTCGGCGGTTTATTAGGCGCAGCGAAACAAGAACAATGGCTGCAGTTACGCTCAGAGATCGAAGTACTGACCGATAATTGGTTAACATCTGCAGTGAAATGTTTGAGTCTTATTAATAAAAGAAGTCACTGCATTAACATTCTTGTCACGACTACGCAGTTGGTACCGGCTCTTTCGAAAGTACTACTTTTCGGAATTGGTGGAATATTTCCTATTGAAAATATTTATTCTGCCTCGAAAATTGGTAGGTTTTAGAAATATTTTTAGTGTAATACTCAAATCGATCAATCATTAATGTCAAGAATTTTACTTCAAATGAAATATATATATTATAATGTATATAGAATTATAAAAAAAATATCTACTCTGTGTAGAACATTATATGGTCTTATTTAAAAAAGTGGAAACGAATTTTTATAGAAAAGAAGTATATCTATAATTATTATTTTTGCAATCTATTAATAATAATAATAATTAACTTAATTTTTGTTTATAATATTATACTACTACCAGAAGCGTTTCAACAATCATGGACAGCAATCATTACATTAGCTTCTGGTATCAAAATAAATATTCATAAGCGAGAAACAAACTCATACTAATTTTACATACACTACAAAATATTTCATTTGAAACAAAGTCCTTGACATTTACATTAAGAAAAGATCAATTTGATATGAAATCAAACACTTGATTTATGAGCGAACAATTATACAGCATATCTCATACAATAATATCAACTTTTAGGGAAAGAAAGTTGTTTTGGAAGAGTAGTCGCAAGATTTGGTCGAAGATGCACTTACGTAGTGATAGGCGACGATTCGGACGAAGAAACGGCAGCACGTGCCCACAATTTCCCATTTTGGAGAATAAATAGTCACTCGGATACACAGTCATTATACAACGCCTTAGAGATGGGATTCCTTTAAACAGGATCCATTTACAAAAAGGACTGGACAAGGGGAAAAAAGATCCTGTTCGAACAACGTCCAAACGGAATACTTTCACGAGATATTTCTATATTCTTTAGTGCGCCTTACGATAGCGCTTTTATTGAGCGAACCATTTGAACATTCCTACTATTTATCGATCGTACGTGAATTTGGGGATCGACTGTTCCTGTGAGATCGCCATATGTAATTATCGTCAATGGCTATTCGTCGATCGTCAAGCGTGACCGATCGGAACAGGGTCCACAAGTGATATACAATGAAAGTAACAGAAAGTAACGGAAGAAGAGGGAAAATTGAAAATGAAAGATTTATATATAGTATGGAAAATATTTTCAATTAATTCCTACACACTTTCGACCATATAAATATTATATTCGATGTAACAATTGGTTCGTTGAAAATTGTCTTTTGCGTACTTAAACGAGTTGTATTTCTTGCTATAAAAACATAGCAAAATTGGTCGAAAATGCTTAGATTCGCAGGCGAGATAACATTTATGCGTAACTTCGTTAGTTATAAATCTCTGACAATTTTACACAAATATTGTGATACAGTTTAATCCAATTATTTAATTAATGATCCCAGTAAACATAATATAGCATGGTCGAACAGATATTCTTTTTTAAACAGCAGTTTGTGAAAGTTTATAGTCACGTTTTTATTAGTTATATTATATAGGGAATATATTTGACTGAAAATATTATGCATTCTTATCGTTTATGTCTTTGTACATGTTAAATGCTAATAAGAATATTTAGGTACATATATTTTTGAATTGTCCATATCATGGTGTGGTTTAAAAACATTTTTCAGATTTCAACTATTTCGAATTATCCTAGAAAAAGTAGCAGATTAATAATATAGGTCGTGAGAGTAATTAAAATTTATAATTTTATGATATTAAGGATACGTAAAATGACGTTTTCAGAACGTACGAGTTTATGTTATATACTGAAAATTTTAATTAATAAAAGAAAGAGAATAGGATTAGCAAATGATAACCAAAGTTAACGTCGTTGAATATTTCGTCGTAAAATCAATTTATATGTTTTCGAGATAATATCATATATTGAATAAGTAAACATTTGCCGAAATAAAGACGGCTAAAATTTTGTGCAAATTATATTCTTAAATCAATCATTTTCATCCAAAAAATTTTTTTTTTATAATAATTAATGATCTACGAAATTTATTTATGTTTATTTTGTAATAAAAAATCAATTACTTTTTAGTAAAAGTTACATATACAAGTTGCTTATTATTTTGAAAATCTATAAACATGTAAAATGCAAAATATATTAATATAATGTTTTAGTAAACTTAATAGCACAAAATCTGCACAAGTTGTAAAATTGTGACAAACCCTAGTTTTAAAGAAAACTACTTATTGGTGTATTATTCAATATGAAATTCGACTGAATGAAAAGATTTAAAACATTCAAGTTATAACACTTAAAAATGAAGACTACAACAATTAACGAAATTCTTTTAAAAGTGGTGTGTTATTTACACTTTCGAGAGATTAATTTTTTCTGATAAATGTACGTTTATGTTAGATTCACATTATATTACATGGATTAAACATGGTAAATGTGAATCTGTGTATTAAAATAGATTGTCGGATGTAAAAGAAACGATGTAATATTACTATAATTATTATATAAAAATTTACACACGATCAAACAATTATCGATTTGATTTACATAACATTCCTTTCGTTGGTATATTCGATTTTGTATGGTACGCACAGCGATGTATAATTTTATAAAAATTTAAGATACTGTATTACGTAAATTGTGCCTATTGAAATTATATATATTTTTATAAGTAATTGTTATAATTCCAGTGTCAGGCTTTCTAACACCACGAGTGATAGTTTCATACTGAGGTTAGATTTTTCAGTGTATAGCAACACTTTCTATCTTAAGATAAAAACGTGACATTGTTTATTTACGTAAGTGTTCATATTTGTTTATGCTTTTTATATCGAATATACATTTCTTTGTGAACTGGCAGATCACAGTCACTATGTAATTTACTTATACACTTTACCGACTTCAAAAATTCATCGTATCTGTGCGTCCTTTGATATTCCAAGTTTTTAGTGAAAAAAAAAAAACAAGAAAAGAGAATGATAAGAGTGCTTTCAAATGCTACAGATATTCAATAAAAATCATTTTGTTTATGTTTCTACAACGTTAATTTTCATACGATCCAAATAAAATTGCATCTCATTTACCTTGCATTTTAACAATTTATTTACATTTTTTTTTTTTCATTTTACAATAGGTCTCTGTATGTACCCAGAAAATGGTGTTCAACATTTATTATTATTGCATTTAAAAAAAAATATATAACTTTATTTTCATAACTTATTTATATACGTTTAAAGTAAAAAACAAAAATATAATGTATTATTTGTTCTTCCTTACATAGTAACATATGTGGGGGCTGTTAACACTCCACAATTGTTCTTTTCTTGAGACATCAGAATGTAACCATCATTACCCCAGTAATTTGACCAGGAGTTTTTAACCAGCCAATAATCCTTTCCATTTAATTTACCATAACCGACAGCCAAAACTGCGTGATCTAATGATTCCTCCGTGTTACCTTTGAAAAACAAAATTTATGTTTACAGTAAAAGCATTATACAATGGTAAGAAATAAATATTAAATTTACTTACCACAGGATTCATCATAGTATACACCATGGGAATAGAATGAAAATGTTTTATGAGCAGCATCGATTGCAACTGAAATGGGTCCATGTTTTGCGATGGCTACTTTCAAAGCATTAGGATCACCCGGTGTAACATTTACGAAGCCCGTAATCTTAGCTACCTTTGTAACGTTATTTGCATGACAATAACCATCCTAGAATGAAAAATACGATACGTATTAATCTCATACACGTTTACAATAACCACAATTATACTAAAATATATTTATTACCTGACCAAGATAACCACCATACTCATCTTCTGCGGGAAGACCTCCATGTTTCATGATCCATTGATACGATCGGAAATCTTCACCACCATCACAGCCATTATTTCCAAAACCCCATGAACAATCAATAAGAGCCTACAATCACGAAAGAGTGTTAAAATATTTTGTATTTACATTATTAATTGTAGTCACATTTTTTATTTCTTTACCTGTTGAGACAAGCGTACTAATTTACCATATTTCATGTAATAAGCACCCTCGACAGCACCTGTTGTGCCAAAACTCCAACAAGAGCCACAAACGGATTGATCTATTTAATTAACAGACACTGCTACTTAATTTCAAGTCCACTATTTGTTGAATAAATCCGGATACAAACCTTTAACTGGAGTAACAGCACCATAGAGTCTCCAATCTAGAGAATCTGGAACTTTTTTCACTTCTTCATCAGCATTGTAGGGGAAAGGTGCTCCTCCATTGTAACCTTTAGTATATTGTTTACCACGCAATGCCTTTAATTCTAATTCGGTACGATCCACCAAATGGTTAACATCTAACTGATAACTTTTAACAGCTCGGTTGGTTGAGTGAATAAATCTGTAAATGTTTTGAATGAAGATAAGTTTTAAATATTTGTAATATATAAATATGTAATACATACCTTAAATTTTGTCTGAAGACTTCTTTGCGTGCTAATTCATCTATTTCATCTATGTACTCCTTGTTATGAGTTTTTTTGAAATTTTCGAATGCTTCGTGCATATGTGCGTCATGATTATGAATGAACTCGCGTATGGGATTAAATGTGTATATATGTTTATCTCCAGGTCCAGGAAAACTAACACATGTCATATCTATTGAAACACATATTTCTTAGTTAAAATGTAACTAAATAAAATTTACATTAATATAGGAAAATATCGTACGTACTTTCCGCGATATCAAACACCTCTGAACTAGGTGTCTCAGAAGAGAACCAATCATAATCTAAATAATAATGATCGTAGTGAGAACCTAACAGGCTATTAAAACCTTTCATTTCATACCTTACAGGAATTGGTTCTTTAAATTGTGGTACACGTGGAGATTTCTATAATTCATTATAAAATAATTAAAGATATAAGACTAATTATATGATAACGAATAATAATATAATTTACCTTATATCTTATCCAAAGAGTATATTTGTTTGTTTTTTCATTAACAGTCTCTACAAGCCTCCATTTTTCACATAATAATCCATTAACCACCTCTTCACCAATGCACTAAACACATAATTTTGCATAACAATGCAATATTAAATAAGTTTAAAAAATAAAAAGGAGAAAACGTTATTTTACCTCCATTCCAGTTGTATCCGGAATAATAGTCTGAGGTTCAATTTTCAAATCCCTGGTACCATTTACTTCAAGACATGTTTCTGCATTTAAAATATTTTCTGTAGTGATTGGAGCAATTTTTATACTTTTTCCATAAGATCCCTTGTGCGACAATTGATAAGTTTTCACCATTCCTAATTAAATCAGAATTAATTTAGTGTTTTCTTTAAAAATATTGTTATTGGTAAAAAGTTGACTACTTTTAGTACACATTACCTCCATAGTAATCAATTCTGCTAGATCCACTTGCAGCATCGTACCATGCATAAAATGGTTCACGAATTTCGGCATATGGGATATACAAAGTTCCCTTTACCGTGTAAGCATTACTAAATGTTGGAGATTGAATAGCCTCAATACCAAAAGTACCTATAGAAACATTAGTATTCAATGATATACTTTGCCATTTAATATATAATAAAAATAATAAATATAATCTTACCTATTGCTACTAAAAAAACTATTAAAGCAAAAATCTGCATTTTTATGTTTCTGTAACAAAGATAATCAGAACATTATTAGTTTCATACATACAATTGGCCATTTCGATAGTGTTATAATCTCATTACTATTGATTACACCATTTCTAATACTAAGGGAACTAACATTGATAACATACATATTTACATATTCACCAAAATCGTTATTAATTTTAACTTGAAGTATATTTAAAAGAAATAATTATAAAAACCCAAAAATTTAAATTAAAATTGAACCAGTACGAAAATGATGATATTAATAAATTTCTACCAACATATTCTAATTATACACATTTTATTTATTTAAAATAAAATTATGAATGTTCAGAAAAAAGCAATTAATTTTAAATATTTGTATATTTATTGAAATATCAGTTTGAAATAAAAATTCAAAACAAAGAAACTTGAATTAGAAACACGATTAAAAATAAATTGAATTAGTCGCATTTCACTTTTCACTTACAATAAGTTACTCACTCTTTGAGGAAAGTTGCTCAAGTACTAAATTGCAAAAAGATCGAATATTAAAATAGAAGGAAAAAGTTTTCCTTCTACCTAAACTTCGCAGAACACAGACATGACCTAACAATAAAATGAACTCGATGCTTCCGTTAAAATGCCCGAACTTATATACACGACGACGCTTGATAAAATAACAAAGCTACCGACGATTTACCGGAATAAAGTCCAATGTTTTTGATTCGTTTGTGATATATTTATGTATATATGTTTCCGTGACAACGTATTTATTTCTATATTAGTCGTTTTAAAAATATACAGGTTGGATTGTACTCAGCGGTTTATTCAAACATTATCAGATTTCATTTTTATGTTTATTAATTTTTGTAAACGGTAGTACTTTATGTACAGATTAATATTTCATTAATTATAGCGCAAAATAGTATTGTAAAGGAAGTTTTACTGAGAACAGAATTTGTGACTTTTCAAATTTTGAATAATCTATTTATAGACAACCTGTCATACTTCTACGACTTGTTTTTGTCATTATAATAAAATATTTATATAATAGGTACAAAGATTTGAAAGAACTCTATTCAATAAAGACCTGAGGCAATTAACATAATATTGTCAACATTTCAGCACTCTAAAAATTAATATTATAAATATTATAATAAACAGTGACTGCAAATTTCCTAGTTTCTAAATTCCCAAATTTTCACCTCAAATTCCTAAATATCCAAACTCTTAAAATTATAAAAATCTCAAATTTCAAATTTATCATTTGATCCTAATACTTTTGTACACAAATTAATCCAAAGTAACTTATACAAAAAAAAAAATATAATTTCTATTTAAAAAAACTATGAGCTCCATATCTCCTAAGTTATTTTATCTACAAAATAATTGATACAACTATACAATGATCTTTTTGATATTAATTAATTTATACATGATAAATTTTTTTATTAGTCTCATAATTATAAAAATGGTCAAGGTGATAATTCTATTTTAGAACCTCCTGTACATGTTTCTCGTTCTACTTAAATTACAATGAGTCAAACTTGTAAAAAGATAGCGATCAGTAATTCGTTAAACAGGAAACGTAGTCAATTAAAAGATAGATTGGTTTTTCCTAAAATAATTGGGGTAGGGAGATAACACATTTTCAAAAGACAATTAACGTTATTTTTATGATTGTAAAGAGAGGGGCAATGGACTTGTCTTGAAATTATACTTGACAACGTACATAATATTCTACAGGACAGACACAAATAAAAGACAATTGAAAGCATTTTGTTATCTCACATTTTTGCACGCACAGCATCGTTTTAAATGATACGAACCGTCGATAATTACAGTCATTTATACATATATATATTAGAACATCTTACGTTGGCAGCAAAATATTTTATATGTGGTTAAAATTACATGTTCGATACTACAATTGATAATATATTGATTTAATTACTGATTAATCGATATTAAGATCAATTTTAATCGATGTCGCAACGTTCCAAAGTTATTCATTTATATAAAACGGTACGAAATTATTTCAATTTTATTTTGCTAAATCAGTTTTATCGTTTACAGTACTGAGAATATTATTTTGTAACAAATTAATAATTATACAAAATGCAACGCGTTATAAAATAAAGGGAAATTATTCATTTGTTTTAAATTTTATTTTCTATTAGTAACTAATATTTTTTAGCTTTTGTACATGGGACGAGACTATCCAAGAGGTTATGAATTTTTCAAAACAAATTTAAAAAAAGCTTTCGAAAAGAATAAGGCAGAACGTGATCCGGAAAAAATTGAAAAAATGTTGGCACACGGCAACTTTGTTATAAAAGAACTGGAAGCTTTGTATATGTTACGCAAATATCGAACATTAAAGAAACGATATTATGAAAAATAATATCAAAATAAATTATACAAAATTTGTATATTTATATCTGTACAGACAAAATATTTTTATTTCATTTGTTTTTTAGGAATCTATTTCTTTTATATTTTGTTTACAAATTCAACAATCAGTTTATTAGATATTGTAAAACATTTTAGTATCTTATTAGAACAATGTAATATACTTTAATGTATTTGTGCAATACTTTATTTAAAAAATAAATATTTTTGTAACTAAACTGTTGAATTTATTTACATGGTCCATCATGTCACTATAGTTGTCAAAAGTGACATTCTAACTTATGTGTTATGGAATACAAACAGCATCTCCAAATATTTATTATAACCTCTAGTATAGGTTGAAGTGTTAGTTTATTTATTAAATCTTGTTATGGATGATAATACTACAAACATATAAGACTCATAAAAATGGCAGTTTGTGTAGCAGTAATTGGAAAAGATGTAAGTATACACTTTTTGAGGTTAAGGTTATTTATTTACAAAATTTGGAAATTTGTTTCAGAATTCTCCAAAATATATTAGGTGTGCAGATGAGTCGTCAGCATTACAATTTCACTGTAAAGTTCACACTTCAATAGATATTATAGAAGAAAAGTTGAACGTAGGGAATAAAACAGCTATTGATACAAGAGACTTATATTTGGGATTACTATATGCTACTGAGGAATATAAAATGTACGTGTAACATATAAATATATTTTATAAGTATTTAATATGTTCACGGTCATGTCATTCATGTCTGAATAATGCTTAAATTTCAACAGTTTCAATGGTACAGTCATGTTAAATAACTATATGTGATTCATTGGATTCCTTCAATTAACATTCTGTTTAATTTCAGATATGGTTATGCTACAAACACAAAAATTAAGTTTGTCATAGTATTAAAATTATTTAACACATTACCAAGAGAGAATGATGTAAAAATGGTATAGTACTTAAGTTTGGATTATTTAAACTTATGATTATTATCGATCAATGTCAAAAAGGAAATGTTTTCTTTGCAGACTTTTAAAAAATTACATGCTGCTTACTCTAATGCTGTGTGCAATCCATTCTACATTCCAGGTGATCAAGTTAATTCCAAGTAAGTTTATTGTAACAATTATAATATATATAAGAAAGTTTAACATAGTAAAAATAATCTATGCTCACTTTCAGGTCGTTTGATTTGTCAGTGATGGAGATAATGCGTAGTATGTAGATTTTAATAAAATATATTTTGAAATTAAAATGTTACAAATATATTTCAAATAGGTGAAACCTATATTAAAATATGTATAAATTCTAAAAAGGAATTTACCTTTGCTATGTATAGTGAACTATAATACATAGATATAGCAAAATTGAAGTATTGCATCTTCACAGAATTTATTATATTTTATTTTATGATTTATAAATTTCTAATTTTTTTAAATTTTAAACAATCATGAATTAAAATAGTGTACAAAGTAAGTATATAAAATGTAAAATGAATATTACAAACCTTCAATATCAATTTCCGGTTGTGTCTTCTTTCTTGATAGAATAAACTGCATTCAAATTTTCATTGCACAACACTGAACATTCTGAAGTTCACCTTTTAAGTGCAAAAATTTCACAATAAATTTTTCGTACCAGTATCTATAATGAATTCTAAAAATTTTATACTAAATGTTCATGTTTAAACTAACTCAAATTATAATTTTCAGTTTAGCAAAATAGGAATAGAAATTTGAAATTAAAGTTGCCAAAAAAATATAATAGTATTGACTAATGCAAATACTCAATAAATAGGGACCAATAACAGAAACAAATAATTTTCTGAACAACTTATAATGTGAACTATATTATTTAATACTAAGCAATGAAATAATATTGGATAATTGAAAACATGGTAGATAATTATATGTAACAATTATTAAAAGAAAAAGGCAAAGTAAAAAGTTTTCAGATAATGAGTTTTTCAAAAAATAAATTACATTTTACACAACTCAAAAAGTTTTTCTCTTTATAAATAAGATTTTACACATTTAGACAAAACATTACATTTGTTTAATTACAACGACAACGTATCTGAAACAAATCTCTAAAGCAATCCTGTTTTCATTATCTCAAAACTTCGCAGCACGCATTTCCTTAAAATTTTAAAAGAACGAAAAACAAAAAAGATACAGATCGGTCCAATTGTGCCCACCGTAGCATTATTTGCTGGTTACTTTTCTGTAATGATATCCTTTATTGTCTCTATTTTACAAAAACAAAGAAGCAACACTGATATATTGCTTGACCGACGACGACGACGACGACGTAACTGATGATATATAATTCGTTAGGAAACGTGGTGAAGGTTCGTCTACGCTGTGTCGCGTTTATAAAATCAATCAGCTCAACCCGCAGAATCGTATTCTCTACAATGCAACTAGAAAAATAGTTCTATTCGAGACGATGCAGATCATACCTGTGTGTCTGACGTTTCTCGTCTCAACAGGATGATATTAATCAATGAAATTAAAATTCGACCTGGGGCTTTCCAGTTTTCAAGAACTTGAAAACACACTACCAACAGACTTTTCTCATTGTAATAATAATAATTATAATAATAATAACGATAATAATAATAAAAATAATAATAATTTTACCATATAAATGATAGAAATGTTCAGGCGCTAACTATGTATACAGGGTACGATGTAACATTTAAGCTTTGTTTCATGGATGGATTCAGCACTTAAATAAAGATTCATATAAATGTACGTTTAATTTCACCTTGTTTCAGATTTATAACGAGTTTGATCTTTTAATAATAATGAAAAGTAATGCACTTAGTTTTGGGATTGGAGTACATTAATGAATTGAAGATTTTCAAGGAATTAAAGGACGATGAACATTTTATATGCTTATATGAAGGTGTAAATATTAATACCAAATGTATTTTACTGAAAACTTTTATCTTCTATGAAAGTAAATACAAGTTTCTCTAAAACAGAACTCGCTGTAACTCAGAAACAAGATTAAATTGAACATGTACAGGTAGATGAAGGTATTCACAGCTAAAATAGATATAAATTACTACTGTACAAAGCACCATTTATACATATACTTAACATAAGTTAACATTTCTTTTTTATTATAATGAGAGGTAGTATTAGTTACAAAAGTATTCGAACTCTGTTTACAAGTATGTTTCAAGAATGTTACGCAGTAAATTTTATTCAATCTTCTTTAACTGAACATAAAGCGCATAACATAAAAATTGTTTCCTGTTCTAGCTTAGCTGTAAATGCTGTTCGAATACTTTCATACGCCAATGTATATTTATATGAAGTCATTTTTTTGAAACTGTTTTTAAGCGTTGAATCTATTTCTGAAATGGGTCCCACATATTACATTGCACCCTCCATATACATGTACATGTATGTGTATATACATACTATATACACATAACATTTTAACAAAATTATTGGGATTTTACAGTAGGACAGTCGACAAAATTTCAGATGTACAATTGATGCAGTGAATACAAATTCTCGAAATTTCTTCTCGAACATACGTAGCAGCTTTTGGAAATGAAGCATTAAAGGAGAAACTTGCATTCAGTGCATGTTTAGTGCAACCAATATAAAAACACGGGCAGTTATATTCAAAAGAAATAAAAAAGAAAAAAAAATAGAAGAAAATAAAGCGTGAAAGTATGCGTGTACCACAAACGGATTCGAGAAGCGCATTTGGTGTTGAGATCGAATGGTGCACACATCAACATAAAAAAAATTAACGTATTCTTTTGATTCAGCGTTACGATCAAAGAATTGAAAACAAAAATTGAAAGAAAATGCCAATGTACAACAGGTATATACATGGTCAGACGAAATATAACTTGATAGGAAATGATTCTGTATATAAAAATTGATTGAAAATGCGATATGAGCCAATTAATGTAATGATGAATGACATTGCTAAAATTTATCGTTAGTACGCGAAAGTTTCTATTATTTATAAGTAATTATAACTATCTCTCAATGACTTTATTTACAGATTCTTTTTATGATATTCAGTTTTTATCTAAAAGTGGTAAAAATCGATAGATGATAGCAAAAAATATTTTGTAAAATGAAAGTAACAAGAAATAAACATAGTATTTCAAAAATGTTAATGATGATGTGATTGGCTTAAGTCGAAAGTGTGACAAGTGCACACACATTAAATTTTCTTGAAAACCAAAATTGTTGTGCTACTTTTAAATTATTTTTATGTAAAGAACCATTTCTCCAACCGTGTATATACTGTGATGTACCAGAAAACTAAAGAGAATATAAATCAAAAACGATAGTTTAACATTGACTGAAAGACGAGAGAAAATAATAATAGTTATAATAATCATTCATAATAACAACAAATGGCAACGTGCGTGTTACTTATTCGCGTAAAAGTAATTCCCTGTCGCATATTTATATCCTCGCGTTCGCATCACCATTTGCACCTTTTTTTTCTTTCTTTTTCCTTTTTTCCACTCTTCTATACTGCGTCCCTTCGAAACACAACAACGCTTTTCCTTTCGTCAAGGACAGAAACTCTTATTCGTCGCATACATACATATGTACATACACAAAAAAAATGGCAGAATATGTTTTACTGGCTAACAATAAGTTCTTCACGAATTGAGGGAGAATAAATTATGGGAACAAAGTAATTCTTCTGTTTAAAATCTACAGAATAGATCAAAGTGTCTATTCTGGTGAAATATAATGCAAAGGAATGTTGCATAATTTATTAAAGTTTCCTTTCCTTCTTTTTTTATTAAGTAACCAACCGAAAGTCAGATGAGAAAACGTCGAATTTGTGAAATTTTCATTGTCAAATATTGAACGATGACTAGACTGCTAGGCGTACATCACACACACGTTACAGGGGTCATTGATGACCGGTGTTACAAATTTTATTAAATAGCAAAGAAAGAGAAGAATCATTGGTAATTCAAAATGGCAAACTGAAGTAGAATAAAATTAATCCTAACATATTGACTGCTATAGTGACTAGTGCTATAAATTTCGATTAATAAATGAAACGAGACCCGATTACAGCTAAAATTACACCAATAATTCTAGATAAACTTAAAAAATTATAATTAAATGATTAATAGGAAGATTTTGAGCAGCTATCGATAGTAAACTATTGAAATTGAAAGATTGCCCAATGGTATTCTGTTACAACGTATATCATTACACATACGCCCATTGTGAACGCGTTGAACAATCTGTAAGTGCCTCGCTATCTACAAAAAATGGTCATCCAATTTATTTTCAGAATAAAGTGTGTGCATGTACATTTCAGCATTAAGAGGATTCTTATTTTCACCTCTGACCCTCTTCTGACACCAACGATTTCATAAATATAAAAAAACAGCACACGGGAATAAAAAAAAGAAAGAAAGTTTACTGCAAGAAAAAAGAAACAGTAATCACACGTAATTATCGAACAAACAGAAACATGCAACAATAAATGAAAAACGTTCAAAACTTTTTTTTCCCTCATCATTTTTCGTTATCGTGATATTTCGTATATTTCTCGACGCACCTGCTGCAACCTACAGATTTTCGTTTTCGTTTCTTCATTCTTTTTTTTTTATTCGATATACAGTTAGCCTCTGCGGCCATACTAGCGGCTCGATCGTTTTACAAATTAAACGTTGGATATTTTTTCTCGCACTTTTCGTGTCGTTTTTCTATTTATCTTTTTTTTTAATACATATCGAAGTTTATCGAGACTTTCGATAAAAATCTCCTCTCGCTATACGCACTCCCTGTACGTGCACGCGTCTGCACGCACGCGACTAAAGAAAAAACAAAAAGAAAAAAAAAAAGGAAAAAAAACACGAAGAAATTAGAGCGACTTATCATATCACAGTATCGTACGCAAAGCTTATATGAAATCGCAGATAGAACAGCATAAAGGCCAAATGGCGACACTATACGCTTTTTTTCTTCTTCACGGTATTATAATTATCTGAGGAGGACAATATCTTTTTTTTGTTTGTTTATATCTCACTTGTTAAGAAGAAGCATTTGAAAACCGCATTCTCCGCACACTTTCTTCCCCTTTTTCTCTCGCACATGCACTCTTTTTACACACTCTCATTCTCTCTGCTACTCTTTCCTTTTTCGTTTTTTTTTTTGACTTCTTCATTTATTACACACTCCATGGCAATGACTCACATCCATGGTCCATGATAACTTTTGCACGAATTTGAGGTTCTCAGTATTATTAGTAACAAAATAGTAAAGCGATAGCCGTTTTGGGTTTGTACGTATTCCGAGAATAAATCGGTGTGTTTGGGGTTAAATTTATAGAACTCCATTTATCTGAAATTTTGCTAAATTATAAGGTGAATAAGAGTTGTTAGACAACGAATTTAATTTATGAAAGACAATTTGATGAATTTGAAAAATAAATAAAAATTGGAATTATCTGTCAAAATGCATGGGTATATTGAAATACTAAATTTAGATTCTTTAATGAAAAAATTAGTGCTTATCTGTAATAATTTATAATTTGTATATTCGTTTGTTAGTATGTTTATTATACAGCTGTTAAATTTAGCAATGTATTTAATAAAATAATTATTAAAAAATTAGCAAAAGGTATGAAATACAAAATCTATGGATTTTTAATTCATAATTATGTGTTAATTCACGTTTGACCTCTAAATGATGATCAAATAACAAAAAGAAATATTTAAATGACATTAAATTCAATAAATTACATAAGGTAGCAGAAGGCTTAATTTAAGAAATACAACAGTTACAATTAGTTGTATGTGTACATAAGTGCAATTGTAATTAAGTAATTAAAATTATAATGTTTCACTATACTTTGAATTTCATTGAACTATACTATGAATTTCTACAAAAACAATATATACTCCACATAAATAGCAGTTGTGCTTCAACTAAAATTTTAAACTGTTCTAAATAAAATTTAATTATTAAAGTATTCATTTGCAGAGATAATTTTAATAACTAATTGAACATTTGAACCTTCGAACATTGTTTTAGGAAAACAGTGAACTTTGTGCAACTACATTTTATATTAATTAAGTTATTACATATTTTGAACGTATTGCGCTCGATGGCTATTATGATGAATATCGTATTCGTTAAAAATAAAAATGACTTGAATATGATTGTAATTATCGTCTAAAATAAAGCATACAAATGTATTTTAAGAGTAATTGTAAACATAGCAAATATCGATTTCATCATGAAAGTCGTTTTTAAGGAAATAAAAAAATACTGCAAATTCATATAATTCTAAAATGGACGGTAAAAGGATATACATCTTGAGATTGAATGTATAATAAACTGTAATATGTAATAACTTAGTTAATATATAAAATTCACACAATTTTTTAAAATCACATATGAATAATTTAAAAAATTGTAAAGGAAGGAGGAAAGCATATTGGACCCCGAAGAGTCAAATGCGTGGGCATTAAACGTAAACATGGCGGAACTCTTGTCCTGTTCACACAAATTCAAATAAATGGAATTCTACTCATACTTTCTTGACAAATCGAATTTTCGTAAAAGAAGAATATCTTCTTTGAATATTGCTTTCAGTTTTACACGCGTGATTTATTATCTGAATACGTACCATCACGGCAAAGTACAGTATGCAAGTAATATTCGACTGTATTTAACACATAATTCGCCTTTTATTCATTTTGGCCATTAAGCTCAGCAAAAAGAAAGAATATCTCGATCGTAAAACTCGCGATTATCACAATTACTTATCTATACTCTCAAATCACATTGATAATAAAAAAAAAGTGTATACATAAATAAACTTATATCATATTTTGTAGTTTCACGAATCACTGTAGACATTTTTCGCGAAATACTTTTTAATCGATTTTCAGTCAATTTCGACGCGTGAGAAAAAGAAAATGAAATGAAATGAGAATAAAGGAACTCGAATATTACTTTATACTGCTTACTTTCTTTTTAAATACCCACGAAAGGGAAAACTTTGGCAACATACTAAACGTTGGCAACAACATTCTTTCTCTCCATTGTTCGTTAGTTTTCGTTTTCATTTTTTTTGTTAGTTTCAGCTGGGCAGCACAGCCTTTTTCATACACGCAAAATAATTATCTTTTTTTGTGAGTTTCTTAAATTCTTTTTATACGGCACAAGCACTCGGTGATAACTTTTGTTTGCTCTTTTACCAATTAATTAGCGATATAATAGTTAATCGAGTAGCTTCATTGTAATTCGTTAATAATTATTCGTAATAGTTATCAATATATGTATGTACAGCACAGAAAAACTGTTTCACACTGAATAACAAATTGTACAGTGATACAAGGCTAACACTGAGATCGTCGGATTCTTTTTTTCTCTTTGTTTCTTTTTTTCTATTTTTTTTCTTTTAAATATCGTTTTGCCTTTTTGAACACCATCGACGTGGTGATTTGTTTCGAACAATCACTGATTAAATATTTAAACATTTCTGGAAAGCTTCAACCGAATGCGAATACAAGACATTCAAGCAAAAACGAAAATCGTGCGTCAAAAATGTTTAAATAAGTCGTTATACGATTATTGTATAATTATATGATCGATTGGACATACACAGTTACCTTTGTTTACGATGTTTCGCGTGAATTGCATTGGCGATAGCAATTGAAATTATAATATTCTTTTAACCCTTTTGCTACAAACATTGTTATTTTTATCATTATGAAATGATACGTGAAAAATTAATCGTCGTTTAAGATCTTTGATATTAACACCTTATTAGCTTGTACATGGAACGTGATTACATTTTGGATACGTTAACTGATCTAGATTTAAACGGATACAATGGTTTAATTAGTATTTTAACAAATTTTTATGTATTGGAAAAATGATATCTAAATGAAGATTTTTAAATGTAAAAAAGAGTTTAAATTTTTATTGTTTAGTGAACTGTTCAAGAGTTACTAATCAAAAATTAGAAAGAGTAATTTATGTTAACAAGGTTTTCTTAATTACACAGTCAATTTAAATATAACTGAATTATTGTTGATAATCAAAGGTTTCATTAATTTTTAATTGGTGATTCATCAACAAGTATATTAATAAGTGCCTGGTTTGGTTAATAATTATTTAGCAAAAATTCTTGAAGATTTGAAAAAATTGTGTTGCTAATGTTATATTCATAATGATAGTATTCATTCTTGATTTGAAATATATCCATTTTTATTAACATGTTGATTGCTATGGGATTCAATAGTGAATACATAATTTTGAGAAATGATGAAAGAAAAAAGTTTGCAAGTATTATTAAAATTACACAAGCAACTTTAAATAGTAAACTTAAACATTGAATTAAAAAATTAATCCTCGATGCGTTGATTGCCATTAATCATTATAAGAATGTGATTTAATAAAATAATTTACAAAAGATTGAAAACCTGTTAAATACTATTAAAATTGCACTAACAGCAAATAAAAGAAAGCATTTAATACAAAAATTATAATAAAGAGAAAGAATCTCTTGAATAACAGTATGTTTATACCAATCTGAAAACTTACATTGGGAAATTAAACAATGGTTTAAATATTTCTTAATACAATAGTCTTACTGTACTGTCCATTTTCATTGCACCTGGTATCAAATATAAATATTAATAATCAATGAGAATATTCATAATTAATTAAAACATTGAAGTATTAACATTAATTATTAATTAAAACGTTAAAGTATTATTAACAAAACAAGTGAAGGATTTTAAATACTACTGAAATAAGTACTTCAAAATAGCAATCTGAAGCATCGTATTAGAATATTAATTTTATTTATATTTTATATTAATATTTATTAGTTATAATGTTTGTTAATTTGTATTACTATGTGCAGTTAGATCTGGTTGCTTCTACTATGGCAATCAACATATTAAATCATTACAATTTCTTTAAAAATACCTTCAACATACAAAGTTGGAAATTTTACTTTAGAATGCAAACTAAAGCAAACAAGTTTGCTCTACAATACTAGGAATCTACCATATAAGTACAGAACTATTTATACCATAACAGTCAACATGTTAATTAACGTCTTAAACACAGAAATTTACCATCACAAAAATATGTTTTTATATAAATGTTGTTCAACAGTGTAAGTACTTTGAATTAGTAACCTACGCAATTGAATTGTTGCAGCAAAAGGGTCAAAAGGAAAAAGGAAAATATGTTTTATTCACGACTCAATGAATAGCATCTCATAGAATGACGCTTTCTGTCAGTGTGCTCTCGTATTTGTACACACACGTTAAGCATTCACGAGTTCAACAGTTCAAGACGGGATAATAACATCAACTATTTAGCTTCCTTTAAATTAACACATTGCGCGGGGGTTGTGATTCAATAGAATACAAGCAATTGTAACAAACGTTTGACACTTTTATCGTCAAGCTTAAACAGCTTTACTGAAACCTCTATTTTGAAATACATTGACGTATACAAGGTGCAAAATTCTTAATATCAAGAGAAAATAAATAGATGTTTGATGCAAAAATACATTAAAGTTATGGAGTAAATTTTGTTCATTTCCCAAAAAATTTCTGTGCAAGTTTTATAAAACAATACTTTTAATAAAACTTGAATCTACTTTTTAATGCAACTTGAATTTATTATTACATAATGTAAATTAAATTTGTAATCTAATATAAACACCAAATTTCTCTTGATTTTTAAACTTTTTCCCAGAATTTGATCATTAAGTTAATTTACATTTGTAACAAGCTTTTACACAATTTTTAAAGATAACAGAAGCATTAAATTAATTTTTCAATCTGTAATTTACTAAATCATAAACCTGAAAATTTCAGAATTTTTCCTTGCACACTTTCCATTACATAATTATCATTAAAGAAATGATTAGAACTTGCTACTGATTATATAATGGCATCTTTTTAATTAAGTATCCTTGTCAAGATAACGTGAACATTTAATGAATCAAATATAACGATAAGAACACGTGAACGTGATAAAAATCCTCGAAAAAATTTCCTCCATAATTATTCATTTATTTTTTTCACTTCTATGAGAAATCTTGCCACGCTTTATACATGTGTTAAATATTGAGAACGAGCAAAATGAGGCACGCAATGTGTTAATTTACATCGTAGCGTTTCAACAGTTCAACTGAATCTATATCGTTAATAATATAGCTGAGAACGAGATGTGCAATAGCGATTTCTTTTACCTAAATTACAAATTTCTCACGATACGAACCGTCAGGTTCGATTTGTGCCCACTGCGAGAAAAACATATACACTTTATGTTACAATACAGACTACAAGAGTGTTCGTGGATAAATGCAATTAGCCTGTCATTTAAACAAAAACAACGGTGTCTCTTTATTATTCACATTTTTAAACGCCTTAATAATGAAAACAGAAAAAGAAAAGATTCGCTTTTTCAATGTATACTTTTTTCCAATTAACCCTTTGCACTCTGACTCTTTTAACCAACTTTAATTTATTTTTATTTCAGGTTCGTTAAGTAAATCTCTGCAGCATAAATAATAACTTTTTCAGAAAGAATAAGTATTTGTTAAAATCAGTATAAGTTTTTGCCCTTTTTTTGTGGTATTTGAATATACAGGGTGTTCAAAGGAACTTACATTAATAAACTGAATCGAATGTTTAATGAATGTATATCGAAAAATCAACAGTTTTAGAATAATGAGAAATTCTTATATTTGCACATTTACAAAGAAAATATCTTTGTACCGTAGAATTGCGAATTCAGTAATTTACTGATAATTCTGTAATTGTATTGAGTCTACAAGTACATGAATGAGATCAATATTTTGTATATAGATCATACTTTTCCAATTTATAAAATATATAAATAAAATTATAAGACATTTGTAACTTTGGTAGAACAAAAGTCAATAATGGAAAAAATGTGTCTATTGTTTTTAAAGTTTTACTTTCAACTTTTGTTCATTTTATCTTTGTATCAAGCTTTCATTTGTATGATCCACATTTTGCACCAATTATATTCTAATAAGTTTAGAAAATTCAATATATGCCACATTGTAGCATAAAGTAATAATCAGTGGATCATTTTTATTTCAATGAGCTGAACATGTATCATGTGAATTTCAAAATTTAATTCTTAATTATAAAACAGGTGTAATTATACAGTATTCGTTTAACTATTAACCAAAAATTTTCTCAATTTTGTTGAAGTTTTCTAATAAATATTGTTAGTCAGTAACAGTTCCATATATAACATGAAATAAATAATTTAAAAAAAAAAGTATAATTATCCAATTATGAACCATTAATATTTCTGATGAATGTAGATAATATTATGTATAAATGAAAAGATACATGTTCAGAGCTCTAAGATAGTTCTTAATTTTTGGATACAAATAATATCCCTTGTCTATTAATATTTTGTTAATAAAATTATCATTATGAATGAGCCATCTGATAAAAATGTTAATTGCAATATCAACAAAATGCTAATTCCAAAAAGGATTTCAATTTGCACCCAAAAACTAGTACCAACATAATAATTCTATTACAAAAATAAATGTAAAATTCCTAATAACTGAAAAAATTGATTTTTCAACATATATTCGCTAAAACTTTTTTAAGCAGTGTAACGCTGATGTTCCATAAGTCCTAAACTCTTTTATCAACACCCCGTATCTGTGCATGTTTGTAGCGCAAAGGGTTAATGATCACTATCGATTCAATTGTTATACGTTCAGAAAAGAACTGTGTATTTATATTTGTGTTCTTTTCTCATCGATAAACCGCGTGTTACAAATATGACATCGTTTCAGCATAGCTGCCACTCGACGCACGCTAATAAACAAACGCTCTATGGTCCTATTTTTCATCAAGTACTTCTGTGCTTAATCTCTGCGAACTTAGCAATGTTGGCCATTCGAACCGGTCAACGGCACAGGCTGATACTGCATTCTACTAACGTTTTAAGGCGATGGAGCACCTGACTTTTAAATAGTTTCCTGCATATCGGATCATAGATATACCCTGAAGAAACGTCACCTATCCGCTTAAAGCAATAATAAAACGATTATTCTTTATCGCCTGACGTAATTAGAATAATAAGGTCTTACGATTAAAAATGAATTCGTCATAACTGAATGTAGTTTTGTCTTCGACTCTTAGGAACTATTTTTGTTGTTGTTTCCTCATACTGTATCACAGTTCACTAAGAAATATTTTTGTGACTTTCTTTCTTTTTCTGCATGTTAAAAATGTATAAAATAAACAGTATAAAACAAGCGAATGTATATTTTAATGATTCACATTAAATTCCTTTAAAATGTTAATAATGAAACTAAACGTGGTATTCGCGTTTACGAAGTCATCTTTCTTGAAAATTCGTTCAGCGTATAAAGAATGACCTTTTCTTCAAGGTATATTCCAAAATGCATCGATAATTTTTTCTTTCTTAAATATGTTACATTATCGTAGAATTATTCATTTGAAAGCTGTACCCCCAGCTGTACTGTTACTATATTGTTGAACAAAATAGAAAATATCAATGGAGCTCGCATTCATTTCTTTCAGTAAAATGAATTTTGCAAAAGAAAGCAATAACAAAAATTGCCAATTTCAAGTTGTTAATAACTATTAACTTCTCATTAATAATAATAATATTAATAATAATAATAATAGTAATAATAATTATAATAATAATAATAGTAATAGTAATGATAATCTAATTAGACAAATACACTTTCATTCCTTTATATGAAACTTATCTGCAGTAGTCTGTTATTTTATGATCACTTTCAAAGGCGATAAGTTTTCACACACTTTTCATCATTCATATCGTTTTTCTGAAGATGCGTGAAATCTGCATTCGAATCAAAACACAATGTAAAGTCATTGTTTCGCTATTTTGTTCATCTATCGAAAAATAAAATATATGTTGGAGGTAGGCTTCCTGTACAACGAATAGAATCGTCATGAAAGGAATTATATTAAATCCGTGGTGTTTCTGTTTTTGATTGATTACTCGTATAAGTTTGCTTTCGTTCTCTTACTGTAGATCAGTAACAACCGTAAAGTGTATTGATTACTTTTTGTTTCGCTCAATTTAGAAAACTAACACAATTCCGATAGAAATTCGAGAAAAAAAAAAGAGAGAAAAAACGTAACTTCAAAATAAAATTGGACATCTGCTAGTAGAAGAACACCTACATGAACTACACACGCATTCACACCATCATACTTTATGATCACAAGCAAGTATTTTATTATAATTATCATTACCAGTAATTAATAATTAATTATTCATTAAATAAGCGAGTCTGTGTAAAAATTTAGCGTTTTTTTGTTTGTTTTGTTTCGACACATTCGCACTTTTTTTCTCACTGTTTCTCATTCAGTTTATGACCTTGAGCGCAACCTTTTTTGCAAAAAATCAGTTTATGATTCCTTCCTTTTTTTTCTTGCTTTTTTTGTTTTGTTTTGCTTTAAATCTCTTAAACTATTATCTGTCGCGGCTGGAAGAAGTAACCACTCCAATAAAGTTATAAGTCAATCACACTATTTTTTTTTAATATTTTACACGTGTTCAGTGACACACTTACATTCACCATTTTCATTACACTTCATCACACATCTTTATAGCTTTCTTTACTTTTCTTTTATGCTGTCTTAAATAAAGTACATGTAAACTAGCAACCACTATTTTTCATTTTAAACTTTCTAAAGTTTTTTCTTGAAGACTCACTGACTGCTGCAACAATCCTTGCTTTAAGACGCTGTTCTTTAAAGATCATCTCGGCTGGCAACTATTCAACGTAACTGTTAGTAGTTTAGTAATATTTCTGACGGACGATCTCAATTTGGCATAGTTAACGTAACGGGCTCTTTCATTTTTTTCCTCAACTATTCGTAAACTTTATTACAATGGCCTACATATGTACTTGTTTACTTGAAAGGCATCAGCATTAAACCACTGTCACAGCACACGCAGTTCTTGAAAAACCTGCTTCGTGGTCAATTATTTAGGTTAATTTAAATTGCCTCTATATTTTCTTCTCTTCCAAAATGTTTCACTTTCATGTCGATTCGAAAGGTGTTTCTTCAAAACATATACCAGACATTTTACGAATATATGAATTTTCACACTTTTGTACAAAGAAATTTTGCTTTCATACTTTTCGAGAGCAAAACATAATTTGCTCGTTAATAATTTCAGTCAAATATCGTAAGAGACGTCAATACTGAGACTTTAATGTTGCTACAACCTTTTCAAAGGTATTTGTAACATTTCAATGTATGTACAGTCAGAACGTACAATGTGTAAGTCTTGTCTTCTTCTGGTGATTGACTATTATATACATTATCTTTTGAGGCACGTTTTGCGCCAGTTGGCTTTACAGAATTATCACTGATAATTTAACTCGAAAACTATAGCATAGCTTCTTTTACTGTGATCGATACCAGAAGTTGCAGTAACTTTTTGATAATGGTTCGATCATCTTCTTTCTATTCAGATACATATTTGGTCTTGCATTTTAGTAAGCAGACTCTTTGAGCTGTTTACACTTTATAACAGATAACTTGCGATAGAGGTAATTGTGTAGTACAAAAACATTGTGTTATTTACCCCATATTCTTAGTGCCCATTTCACTGACCACTATAGAACTGTATGCGACCACCTGCAGTCACTGGCATTTCTCTCATAACAGCATCCCAAGCTATATATTAATCAAGAAAAAGAAAGTATATTGATTTCTATTTCAAAAGTTATAAGTAAATATTTTATTCTAGTCATATATTAAGATATTAAAAAAGCAATTTGAAAAAGAATGATTCTCAAATAGGCTATCCTTAACAACATGTAAGAAACAATATTTTAATATTATTTCTTTTGAAAAATACAAATTACTTTTGTGCTATAAATTGGAGAAAAACTTTTGCAAACATCTTTTAATAGCATCAAAACTTGAGAATCACTTTTAAAACATTAACCCATAATTTTAATTAACGTATAATACAATTACACTACTAATACAGTGCAGTTTCGTTATATGGCTCCTATTTGTGCTCCTAAAGCTTCTGTTGAAGGTAAATTCTCAAACTGATAAATTAAGAAATTCTTGAACTTTAGAATTTATAAGCTATATCACGAAATATATGAAACTCCACTGTGCACGTTCAGTAATATACTTGCAAATTTTATAAAACTTGAGAATTACTTACCTAAGCCAACAAACGAGACGATTTTATCATGATTGTACGTTTGTATATTAACATCTTCTTCAGGTGCTACATACAGCATAGAAAAATCTTCTTTCGGTTGATGATGATATTTGTCCATTATTCCTGGAGGAGGTGTTGGTGGCGGCGGTAGACACGTAGGTGGAGGAAACCTTGGAGGGTAACCCATACACGGTAATCGCTGCATCATTACGGGATGCATAGGCTGTTGCGTTATGTGAGCATTGGGTGGTTGCATGAAATTGGGTGCAAACTTATCGCATCTCATATGTTTCTCAAATATTGGAGGATATCTATCGAAATTAGGTGGTTTACTTATAAGCGGAGAAACTACAGAAGGAAAAACGGAACTGGCAGTTGAAGTTTCTTCGGTTACTGAATCTTCGGACAACAGAAGCTGTTCGTTAATTTCGAATCCAAACCTAAGCTCTGTTGGCAACTCGCTGTTCTTAGAAATATCGGACGAACTTTCGTCTAGTAATATGACCGCAGGTCTAGAAGCCTTTTGTTTATTAGATGTCTGAGATTCTGATTTCTGTAACTGTTCTTTATCCACAGGTGCACCTTGCTGTTGCTTAGTTTTCTTCGATTCAACATCCTCCTGCTGATCTTGTTTAGAATTAACAGAATGTGTATTTCCTGACTTAACCATTTCATGTTTCACATTATTGTTTTGTTCTTTTATTGTTTTCGTTAACTTTTCATTTTTAGTTAATTTTGTAGCATCTGAATCAGTGCTTTGAATTTCTTGTGTCGATTTTGGATTATTCTGAGTACTGGATTTTTGTAGCTCAACCTCATCAGATGATCCCGTTCCGGGATTATTTTTGTTTTCAGAATGACTAATGGAATTTTCCGTGATAGATGATTTTTTGGTATTTTCATCGGGATGAGAATATCCAGTTTTCTTGAAATGTTGATCTTCGTGCAATGCCTGAGTTTGTACACTTTGATTGTTTTGAACGTAACCTCGACGTGATCGAGGATTGTTACACCTCATGTTCAGAGTCGCATCTTTATTATTAACACCATTACCACTAGTATTATTGTTGTCAGCATCGGCGTTACAGTTCGTTATTGCATTATTGAGCTTCGATGGCACTGGATTCGTTACTGAAACTTCGTTTGAAATTGTGCTATGACTATTAGTATTTGCATTTTTTTCTTGTTGCGTTAAATTCTGACGCATTTTTTCAACATCTTGAACGTACTTTATAACCTGAATGTTTTTATTAATAGCTTCTTCTTGAGCTTCTGCTTTTTTTCTTTCTGTTAAATTTTTCATCTTTGCCAAAGTTGGGGACGGCGGTTTTTCAAAGCTAAGGTTCAAGATGTGGTTTGAATGAGTGAAATTATGTTGCCTTGTTTTTCTATCCGAGTGCTGTAATTCATCTAGGCTCGGATAATAATCCTGAGGAATTTTATCTGGTTCTGAAGGTGTTTTAGGTGGCACACTAGGCCAAGAAGACGTATTTAACATAGTCGGAACTATTGTAGACATATTTAACACTGAATTGTGTGTCATATTAATAGTTGCCATGCGAGCTATATCTGCGTAACTTGCCTGTGGCGTTCCGCCTGATGAGGTAGCTATTTTTGATAAATTGTGTTTGGACGTGTTCGATGTGACTGGCAATGAATGGACAGAATCGGAATCACTGCTATCCGATTTATCGCTGAAAAAAGGAAAAATACTTTGATAGCATTCGATATGCTTTCAATAATGGCAAGAAATGTTAAACAGGCGAATTTATGTTTCAAATTTTCGTAATAATATATACAAAAAACCTGTTGCATTAGTAGTTACCTTGGGGGCATACTACTCGCTGATTTTCTTCTAAGTTCAGGAGAAAGCGGTGTTCTATATTCATTGGAAAATCCCCTGGAGGTTTGAAGATAAGATCCAGACGTTGCCAAATTCTGAGCTCTACTACCACTAGAACTTCTTCTCTGCTTTTTACTCTTCTTCTTTTTCGTAACTACCAGGAATTCTGTTTCATGTTCAGGTTCTGGATTGATTTTTTTATTGGAGTTTCGACGACTAGCATAATCATCCCCAGTATCATTGCAATATATAGACTGACCTTCTTCAGTTCCCCAGGATCGTCTATCACCACGACTATCGATAGCTGCATCCCCTGTACTTCTTTGTTTCGCACGCCGTAAAGCAACGTTAATCGTAGCTATTAAATTAAATATAAGAAGATATTAATACAAAAAAATATTTTCCTCTAAACGTATGAAATTAATATAGAATACTTACCATGTTGACTGGATATACTACTGGCACCACTAGAACTAACACTTTTTTCTGTTGTGAGGTCTTCAAGTTTAGTCTTAGATATTTCTTCAAGAGAATTAGATTTCTGCAACTTGGCAGGTAACTGTTCCCTTTTAGTGTCTTTTTCTCTACTCCTTGGTTTTGCTCCAGAACTAGTTTTTACTCTTACTGGATTACCTGGCTTTCCTTTTTTGCTTTTAGATTCCTTGTTTTCGATAAAATTAATTAAACTGTCGATATCTTCATTACGGTGTCCTTCAACTTGTTCAGCATTATATATGATAACGTTAGGTTCTTGCGACTGCTTTCTTCTAGATTTTTTTCGTTCTCCGTTATAGTTTTGCACTGCATTTCCATTTTCATCTAAAGATTTCTTTTCTCCAGATGCCGTAGTATGCGATGTATACCTGGAACCTTCTGCGCAAAATCCATATACTTTAAATTGTTATAAACTAAAGGTTTAATATATATGTAAACAATTAGTTAAAGTATTATTAAATAAATGTACAAGTAATTGTTTTACTAATTATTACTCAAATCTTACTACCTAAAGTTAACATAATTAATTATCCTAATTTGACAATATATATCTTGACATGCCACCTACCCATTGTAATATTCTGTGTTTGCAACGATGCGGACATCATGGAGCATAAACTTGGAACTACTTTACCCTGACTAGTACTAGAACTGTTTGCAGTCCCACCAATACCACATTTCACGCTATTAAAGGTCTGGATGGAGAGGGCTCCAGTTACCTCTATACCATTCACAGATATTTTTGATTTATCTTGCTTTCCACTATGTTCTCGGAAAGAAAAATCTATAGTAGTATCCACAGGAGTTTGAGCTATGTCAAATGTAGGACGTGATATATATTGAGATCTACGTGGTTCAATGATTTTCATTTCAGTTCCTTCATCATCTTCTGTATCTAAAGAGTGAGGTCTCTGAACCCCACTTATTGTGGATCCCACATTCCTTTCACTAATACTACCCACCTGAAATAAATAATATAGCAATAAAGAATAAGCAAAGACAAAAGTTATAAAGTTATGTATAAATGAAACGTGGTAGAAATTCATAAACAATAATTGTACTAATAATATATAAACTTTTTTATTTACCTCAGTATCACCTAAATCGATCAACATGTAATCTGACTTATACTCTGGTGGTGGATTATCTGATTCAAGCATTTCATTTGTCCCGTGTTTTCCTTTGTTACCTCTTTTCTCGCGTACTTCAAGTTCAGTTTCAGACAAATCTTTCTTCGTATCTTTTTTATCTTTTTCTTCTTTTTTTGTATTAGTATATGATGGTTTGTCTAGAGATTTGGATTTTTCTTTATTGGTCCAATCATATGTTGTTCTTTCTTCACAGAAGCCCTTCTTTATAAATTACAAAAATATACATTCAATTATATGCCACATGATAGTATTATATAAAACCCATAAACGTCTTTATTTAAATGTTTTAATTATATATAAAAAATTATAATTGTATCTAAAAACTTATTTAAAATTTCAAAATACATACCTTTTTATCAAACAACAAGTCTAAATTAGCCAACGAAGCAAGATTATGCGATGCATTAACATTTGACGGTAACGAACCACCTTCCCTTTGTCTAGCAGATACACTAGGTCCTGTATATTTTTTATTCTTTCTTCTACTTCCTCCGTAAGTATGGCTAGATCCAGATGTTAAGTAAGCAAAACTACTATCAAATTCTGAAGTAATAGGTTGGGCCAAGTTTTGTAAAGATCCTCCGTGTGTTAATCTTTCAGACACAGAATCTCGTTTATGTCTTCTACGATTTGATCCAGGTAAACAACGTGAATTAGTTATTATCCTACGACCTTCCTCAGTTTCATCAGCCTCTGCTTCTTGCAGTAATTCCTACAGTAAGCATAATTAAATTATTATATTAATTTTGATAAAAAAAAATAAAAATATTATTACGCTTACTTTAAAAAGGCTTGATTTTCCTTCACGATCCTTAGGACACTTATAAGTTATAGCTTCATCCAGTAATGCACGTAATTCACCTTCATTTAATGTAGATAAAGTAGCTGGTTCTTCCTAAAGGTTATAACAAAAACAAAAGGAACATTGGAATTAGTTATATGCAAAATATTAAATCTTATACAATATATGTAATGATACTATGATATGCCATCAAAAAATTAGGAAATTTGTATAAGCAAAGAACTAGTAAATATGCTAAATCTATTTATGCACCTGTATATTTTAAAACTATACATCATAAAAGATTAAAAAGCACTTTTCATTAAAGAACAAGTATTATATAAGATACAATGAATTGACAATATTGAATATATAATTATATAGAATACAGAAATGACATTAATGGACCATGAAAGGTTATATGGAACAAAAAATTAAAGCAAATTTAGTTTAATCATCTATATATTACAGTACTGACACATTGTAATATGTTTACGAACACTTTGTTTGTAACCTATACATGACGTAGAAACATGTTTTGCAATCTAGATTCAAATATGGAAAGTATGCCAAGAGACCAATTCAAACTTTAGGAGTATACCATAAGTGAAAATACATTTAAAGATGTACTAAAAAAGTAAAAGATAACCATAATTTCAGCTATAATTTGTTTAAATTATTTAATTATTTTTATAATTATATGAACTAATACTTTCATATATTACTACTGACATTATTCAATTGTTTATAATATATATGATTTAAGATACATATCATTTTTTAATTAAATAGATATGGCAACCATACAAAAAAATATTTTAGATCAAAAATTATATTATAACAATTAATTATAATACAACAAATAATCTATGTATAATAAAAAAATGTATGTTGTAATATTTTTATGTTATTTTCTATTTATTCTAAACGCTATAGTATAAACTAGACCACAAGGTAGATAAGCATGGATATAGATAGATTCAGAGTGAATTTAAGGTTTCACTTATTGGATTTTATGAAGAAATATAGAGACCACATAGAAAAAAGTGTATTAGTCTAAATGATGTACTTTAATGTTATAATTAATACTATATTTAGATATTACATTTGCATATTATTTTAATCATATTAATTATATATATATATATATATATAATATATATATATATATATATATATA